GCAGGAATGTACACTGGTCCCGACATGTGCCTGGAGAGGAACAAAACCTGCATCATGGACCACGGCCCCCTGTGAGCCCCGAAAGACGCGTGGGAGATGCTCAGACCACAGCGCACATGGGATCCCAATGGCTGCTGCACCTTCCCAGTCCACAATCCTCTCACAAGTAGATGCCTGCCCAAGATGTGTTTTTTTCTGGAAGTCTCTATCACGCAGTCTCAACATGCAGATCTCAGGGCTTTTTTTCAATTTCTGGAAAGGACAAGTTACAAATAACTTCAGGATTACTTGTTTCGGTTTGGAACCTTAGTGATTTCTGATGACAGGCTGGTCCAGTGGCGCTCCCGTGAGCTGCCAGGTGTGCAGGGAGGTGCAGGGGAGGAAGCACCCGCCGACCGCGGTGCCCCCCGCTGGATCCACCTGAGGGGAACCGCCAGCTGGAGTGAGAGCTCGGTTCCCTGAGCCGCCCGGGTGCCCGTCAACACACGGCTCCAGGCACTCACACACCGTCCGCCGAGCGCCTTCACGGTGCCAGGCCCAGCACGAGGCGAGGACAGCTCGTCCAGGCCTCGATAGGAAGGACAGCACCACGCAGGAGTGACACTGACAGAGGGCAGCACAAAGCACGGGGAGAGGCAGCCGCGGGCCGGCGGGAAGCCTGCAGGAGCAGAGGGGCCTGGGCCACGGGTGCTGGGGTGATGAGGCTCAGCCCACACAGGGCAGTCCGGCAGCAGCCCAAACAACTGTCTCACTGTCCTTATCCAGGGCTTCCTGGTACATCTGCAACGTTCTCCCCAACAGGTTTTTCCGACCCAGAGCTGGGGACCCAGATTATACTGAACGTCTCTTTGCTTTCACTCCCTGTAACCCTGAGAGCCTGGACTCTGTTGGGTGGGAAAGGCTTCTACCTACGTGATGCTTTCATTGCCCGAAAAACATGGGGATTTTGCCCGTTTGTGCTCCTAAAAGCCACCAGATTTTCTAGGATCCAAAGATGGTTTCTGCTCCCCACACCCCTGTGTGCTGTCCAGACGTCTCTGGGAGTGACGAGGTCACTGGGGGCGTCCCTGTCTCTCTCCTGCAGCCTGCCCTTCACAGACTCCGTCTCCAGGCTCATTTCAGACCTGGCTTGGGGTGCCCACAGGTCCCCATGTATCCACTCTGTGGTGACAGAGCCCAGACGGCACACTGTGACACAGCCACGTCATTCCAGGCCCAGCTCAGATGTCGAGTCCGATCCAGGCACAAGGGGGACAGGGGTGGAATTACAGCCCAGAACCCAACCCAGCTGATACCTCTGCACAGAATAAAGGCAGACATCTCGCATTACCAGCCTGGGAAAAACCTACCTCTCTGGGGACGTCTCAAGACTGCAGACCTGCAGTCTTCACTTCACTGCAAACGCGCTACGGTCTACCGTCCTCTCTGCAGGGCGGACACCAGCCCCGCCAGCTGATCCAGTCCCTTCTCTGAGTGCCAGCAAAGGCTGCTGCACTGTTAACAGCTTCAGTCTCCACCTACTTGGACTTGCCTGCCCCCAGCCTGGTGGGCAGTGGCATGACGCCGGGGGCCAGGGTCCTCTCTGAAGTTCACTAAATGTGGGAAGGACGACAGCACGCCTGCCGTGAACCAAGGCCCGCAGACTCGGCTCCGGTCTGCAGATGAGTAGCATTCAGGCCGCAGGCTGAAACGCCGCGGTGGCGACCATACCCGC